GGGGGGGGTCCTCCCTTGCCAGCACATTGTAGGGAGGAGGCCTTTGGGGTGAAGGGGGGAGGGGGCCGCTGCTGCTGCTGGCTGTTAAAGGCTGAGCAAAGGCCCTGGGCAAGGGTGTTTTCAGTTGGGGGGGGGTCTCAAGTAGCAGGGAAGCCAGGGTGGAGGGCCAGGGGCCTTAGATCCAGACCCCTAGCCTCCCCCTGGGGTGGGGGGGGGAGAGTCAGTGTGCTGGGTTCCCCTCGGATGGGAAGAATTTACCTCGGGGGGGGGGCTGCTCTTCTACCCCCGCTTTGCTCTGTCTCCCCTTTGCGCCTTAGGGATGCGGTGGGCTTAGGAGGGGAGATCCGGTCTTGGGTTCGAGGGGCATCCCGTTGGGTTATTTTCTTAGAAAACTTTTTTTCAACTTTAGAGTGTTAAAAGTGGCAAAGTATTTACTGATCACTCCTTTAAAAAAAGAAAACATCTTTCCATGAGACAGCCCTGACTGAAGAACTAAACGCAGCGGGGCAGCAGCTCATAGCTTGAGGTATTTGTCCATGTAAAGCAGGATTAAAAATGTGTCTAAAAACAATGTAAGTAGTCCTCATGCTTTTGTGCAGTGCCTTTAGACGTTCCACTTTCTATAAAGTCTTCAAAAAAAAAAAAACCTTTGCATATATATTATATATATGATGTAATGTTATAGAAATATATGTATAATATACATATTTTTTCCAGGGGTATCTGATAGCTCTGTATTTTGTTATGGAAGTTGATATGAAATATTTTACCTCAAATTTTTAAAAAAAAAGTTAAATAAACCTTTTAAGTAAGCTTGCTGGGGTCCCTTCCGTCTTTTGCTTTTGAGGCTGTGTTGGAATTGGCGCCTGCGTTCCAAGGAGGCAGCGAGACAGGCGGAAGCGCAGGGGGCCGGGCCCCTCTGCTTGGGGCTGGGGGGGCTCTTAACGCCACGTGGAGGCCTCCCCACGGATGAGGCCCAGGGGCCTGGGGGGCTCTGCTAGAGAGGTGGACCCTCCACCCCACCGGAGGTCCTTGCAAGGCCAAGCAGTCTTCCCTGGCCTGATGCTTGCGGGATGTTTCCGCCCAGTTCCAGGCACTGCCAGGAGAAAGTCAAGGCAGCCGGGTGCTTGTTCGAGGCTTCTTCCTTGGTGAGGGTCTGACAGCCCGGAAGGCAGCTCTGGTGAGAAGGCCCCGTTGACCGGGGAGATTGCTCAGTCTTTGGGTCTCGTCCCAGCAGCTCGAGGGACCTTCCCTTCCACACCTCACGCTGCCCCTCGGTCCTGGCCACAGGTTTGGCCAGCGGGGGCAGGGATAGAGCCTGTGGCAGGGTGGGCACGGGAGCCACCGCTTTGCCGCGTGAAGTGACGTGTGTGGGCCTCCGGAGGAGGAAACCTCCACCTGGGGTGGCTGTGATTCACGCACTCTCCCTCCCTGGAGCGCCCTTTGGCGCTTCCTCTCGCGGGAGGAGGGCAGGGAACGGCTCCCTTTCAGCACGCCTTGCAGCAGCCTAATTGCTCACAGGGAGCCCGTCGCCCAGGGAGTCACCGGAGGCTCCCAGGCAGGTTCCTCAAGGCGGGTGGAGAGGGACACAAACCCAGGGCGGCTTCAGGGTTGCACGGAGGACAGCGGGGGGTACAACGCCACTTCGGCTTGGAAGAACTGGCCGCTCAGATTTCTCCTGGGCTCCCCGCCTCTTTTCAGCACCCTGGTTCCTTTCCTAGCCGTCTCCTGGTTCCCACCCTGATACCCACATTTTTGCAGCCGTGCTGTGGGACGCTTCAAACACAGCCGCATGCAGTGAGCCACGTTCCCGTTGCAGGCTAACAAACTTTGTACACTTGCAAAAAATAAAAACCCTGCAATAAACAAATTCCCCGGGTCATCCTGGCTCCATTTTTCCATTTCCTAAATGCCTTCCGTGGAGGCTCCCACCAGGGGCGCAGCGGCCTCTTCCCCTGCAGGCTACAGCCAAGTGGGCCGAGACCATGAACTCGCAGGATTCGCTGTCTTGGGCCATGGAAAGCGCCTCTGGCTCAGCTGCTCCTCCTCAAATGCTCCAACACGGACAGTTCCGGCTGTCCCTCCCAACGGCAGCCTCGGGCTGCAGGTCTTTCAAAAGAGGCAGCCGAAAGGCTTCCTTGGGCGCTGTGGGTGGGGAACCAAGAAAGCCCAGGTCTCCCTGCCGCGCTGCCTTGCTGGCCTCTCGGGAGCCCCGAGGTCTGGGCAAAGTGGACCCTTCTTCCCCTCCAGCAAGCACCGCCGGCCTTGAAAGGCAACGGGAGCAACGTCCAGATAGGATTGGACCGCAGATCCTGGCCCAGCGGCTGTTCCTTCCGCCTCCGGAAAGCCTGGTGCTGGGCTGGGCTTATTACTTGAAGGCTGTGTAGGTATCACGCTCTGGAAACACCCAGCCCAGGGGGAAAAATCCGGCAAGATTTTGTGCCAGCTTCCCCCTTTCCTCCAAGCCGCCTTTCGGCAAGAGTTTGGGGCTGCCTCTCTCCCAAGCAGGATGTGGCAATTCCTGGAAACCCTTTGCCACATCTTCAATCAGCCCAATTTCCTCCGCCTGCCAGTCTGGGGCAGTGACCGTGTCCAGAGAAGTGTGCTGGGGTTCCACCCTTCCCTGGGTCGGGTGCCGGCTTCTCCGGGCAAATTTCCCTTGTCTGGTTTGCTGATCCTGAGATGCCGCTTCCCAGGGGAACCGGAGCCTGAAGGGGGGGGGTCTGGGCAGAGGGTCGCAAGCATCTCCGGCCATTGGGAAGCAAGGTCCCAATGGCCGCCTTTGAAAGGCCCCGATCCAGCCGCCTCTCTCCAAAGGTGGCTTCCCTCCCCTGAGCTTGGCCAAGAGAGGGGCACCTTGGGGAGAAGATACCCCCTCCGCAAAGCACCTGCCCCTCTGGTATCCCTCTGCCCCTGGCTGGCCGTCCCTGTTAGTTAATTAGTCTGTTCTTAATCAGCTCAGCTCAGGACAGCTCGGAAAGCTAATAAGCTGCGCAGACGGTGTAGGTAGGAGGGAGGGTCCCTCCCAGCCCCCCTCCCAGCCCCCCTCCCTCCCAGCCCCCCTCCCTTCCCCTCCCCCTTGGCTGCAGAGCCAGCATTGTGTGTCCTGCAGTCAGCTTGATGAAACCAACGTAAGAGGTTTTGGACATGCGGCCCCCGGCCTTCCCGCTCGGCTCAGTGGGGCTAAGCAGATTGGGGGGTGGGGAGGATTTGGCTGAGAGCGAGAGCCGGCAAGAGGCTGCCAGCCAATTCCCAGCTCTTCCTGCATGCCAGATAGGCCGGCTCAACTGGAATTCTGCTGGCAAGGCAAACCTATACTTATGCATGCGGAAACCACCTGTTGGAACCTGCCGGTGCCCCAAATCGGAGGCCGGGGAAAGTGTGAAGTGGGAAGGAAGGAAGCTGGATCCATCGGAAAGGATCTCTACAGCATATGTGGTTCCTTTGTGCCGGCGGCCCTTTCCGAGTTTGCTATGCCCGCGGTTGAGGCCCGACATGCCTCCAGCCTGCTCCAGTGCTTGGAGGGCCCACTGGTGCCTTTGCTCATCCCCCCCGTCACAAAGGGGGCCAGCGTGGGCTGCACACCTTCCATGTGTGCAGCTGGGGCATCCTTGGATGGAGAGGGCCGGGCCACAAACCCGCAAGGCTGGGGAAACTTTTTCTCCTGAAGGGAGATAGAATTTACCCCTCTTATTAATTTGTGCACCATCTGGATTTTAAAACCCTCTTTGACCCTCTTTCTCTTTATATGTGGAGATGGGCTGCACTGAAGCCCCCCAAACAGTGGGGGCTCTTCTCCATGCCTCCTTTGCTCCCCGACCCCTTAAGCAGCCGGGTAAGAGGGCAGGACTCAGCAGCAGCGGAGTTCACACAAAATCCTTCCGGAAGGGGCTGTCCTGGGCCCAGGAACCCTCCCAGGATGGGGGATGGTCTTCCTTGAGCGCCCGCTGCACTCGGATCCCAAACCAAGTTACATACAGACTAGGCAGATAAGGTTGGGCACCTTTGCGATAGGACCGATGCTTCCGCAAACACTTTGCCCTCCAAAACCGTTGCGAACCGACTCCGCGTTCCTTCTCCTTAGCGGATCCTTTCCTCGCACCTCCTCCTCTGAGGGCTTCTTTCTTGGATTTTGAACGGAGGGGCGGCTGACACAGGGTTGCATTCTACCATGCTTCTGTTCTTGTTATTTTGCGTTTTATATTTCACAGGTTTAAACCTTATCTTTGCATCTTCTTGGTTTGGAAAAGCAATCTGTAATTTAGCAACCAATTCTGGTTCGGGCTGTTATCACACGCCTTTCATCTTCTACATGTGTTTTGATTATCTCAGGTTCTCCCTTGTACGCACCACAACTCCCAATGGCCCAAAGTGCCTTAAAGTGGGAAGGGAAAGTGACCAGGCACTGGAGGGTCCAGGGAAACAGCAGGACGGACCTGAAGTGGGAAAACAGAAATGGGAAGAATTGCTGGATTAACAGCTTTAATGGGGAGAGGCAACGGCAGTAACCGTTGGGAGCAGAGGAACCAGCCAGCCAGCCTCAGCCGGCCTCCCGGGAAGCCCAGCCTGGAAGGAAGGGCTCCAGGCAATCTGGGGAAGGGGTTACTTTACCAAAGCCGCTTCCCTGAGGTTGCCTCTTCCCCAGGTCAAAGTGTCCCTTGGGTCCCTTCTATTTGCCCTCATGCCAGGCTCTATATCCTGGCTTGCAGGATGCCTTATGGAAGGTCCTGGAGGGAGCCCCGTCTCTCCCAGGCTCCTGCTGGGTGCCAGGTAAGGGGGTGAGGGTGAAGACCTGCCCTCGGGAGGGGGCTTCAGGAAGAGCCACCTGGGGACTGCCTCACCTTCCTCTCTGTCTTGCAGGCCCAGCCCTTCCTGGGGGGACGTACAAGGCCGAATCCAGCCCAGCCAGCCTACCCTGCGCTGGCCCTTATCTCTCCCAGGGCCAGCCGGGGGAGGAGAGAGCGGCCGGTTCCAGCTACGGCCAAGGTGGGCACTGTATCTGTGGGCACATCCTCCTGGGAGCTCGTAAAAGGTAGAGAGGATCCTCAGCCAGCTGTTTAATTCTAGGCAGAATGACTCCTAATTTAAATATTGTGAAGCCTCTCAGGAGGGCAGTGGAAGAAGGCAATTTGAGGCCATTGTAATTTCGGTGCATTTTGGCACGGCCAATTAATGGGAACAAGCACCGTAATGCCCTCTGAAGCCGTCTCCCAGCTGCCTGGGCCTCGCCAAAGGAGGAAGAGGGTCCCAGCCCCCCCCAACCCGGTTGAGACTGAATCTCCTGCCCCAGGGGTCAACCTATGGCGTCCCCCCAAGAGCGACCGCCCCTTCCTACAGTTCTGTAAAGAGGAGTCGCTGTTATGGTCGCTGTTATTCGCAATGGGTTGCTTTCCGTGGAGGTTGATCCCGGAGGCTGCTCAGCAGCTTAAGGATCTCGGCCTCTCGGGCAGCCTTGGCTCTGCTCCAGCGTGGGCACCAGCCAAGCTTACCTCTGGGTAAACAGGCTCTGTTTATTATTAATGAATTAACTTTGTACCCAGGTAAGAAGGATTGTTCTGAGGCCAGGACAGTTTTGCCGCTTCTCTGGCTGCGCCTGCTCCCTCCGGAGGGATAGCAAGGAAGCAATCCTTCGTGATCGGGCTGCCCCTTCCTCCGGCATGAGGGGAGGGGGAGCTTTCCTGGGGTGGGGGTTGGCTGTCCCTTTCTAGTTGTTTAAAGAATTAAAGGAGCTTCCGCCCGGCTCTGGCCTTGTGCCCCCGTACACCTGCCTTTCTCTTCTCTTCAGGCCCCCGGACCACCCACCCCACCTTCCGCCCTCTTGGTTTGAGCGCCAAGGACCAGGGGCCCTTCCCCGCTTCACCCCTCATTCAGGCGGGTAGGGCCCCGATCCCCTTTCCGGCCCTTTCTTCCACCACCGAGGCCAGGTTGCAGAGGCCCCGGTAGGAAGATCCCTGCTCCAGAGCCAGACAAAGACCCCCAAAACGGCCCCCCAACTGCTGGGCATGACTCCCACCGGTGGCCCCTGACTGCCCCCTGACTGCCCCAGAAAGAGGCTCTACAGGAGGGGTTGCTGGTCCCCTCGAGGAGCCCCAGACTGGCCGGAAACCAGTTCATAGCCTCCGGGATGAAAACGGGCTTTCCTTCACCAAGTGCAGGAGGGCTCCTTAGTCGTGGAGGAGCTGCCCTCCATCGGGCGAACGGAAGTGCTGGACGCAGCGCACAGAGGGCTCCCCGTGGCTCTTTCTGCGCAGGTCCTGGCAGTCCCGGTGCAGGGAAAAGCACCAGCAGCCCCTGGTGCCCGGTTGGCTCTATTGCAAGGAGGCGCCTCCTGCTCCAGAGGGCGTGTGGGCAGCTGTGGGCAGCTCCCGGCAGCCTCCGTCCAGGCTTCCGCTGCCTCCCGGCCACCACGCAGGGCGGGAAACCTCACTCCTGAGTTGGGCATCCGCCTCTTTATCTGGGACACCAAAGCAGAAACCATGATTGGAGGGGGCGCAGCAAAGGTGGCCTGCCAAGGATGGGACTTCGTGGGGGGCAGAAAAATCCCATTTCTTCATGATGTTTTTAACTTTCTTTTCCTTGCTGAATACTTTGGATTGCAATGCTTTAAGGACCTTTTCCTGCAAAACGGCAGGATAATCTAGAACATAATTAGCAACGCGGAGACGACCTGGATGGGTTCAGATTCTACTTCTGCCCTGTTCAAAGTTGTGCTACTAAATAAAGAGCATTGGCCCGAGTTATGAGGTTCGGGTACTGAAAAATCACATGAATGAAGGAATAAATGAAACCCGGGGGAGGAGGGAGATGGGGGGGGGGCTGCCTGGATCCCCTTTTCTTCAGCATTCTCACACACACACACACACACACACACACACACACACACAGACACACACACACACACACACAGACACACACACACACACACACACGCACGCAATGGCCCTTCCTCAGCCAGCCTCCTATTAGAGACTCGCCGCTCTCATTATAGCCATTATAAGGGAGAAGATATTTTGCCCCCAGCCGCCCCCCTACCTCCACTTCGAAAGGTGGGGGGAAACATCCCCTCCCCCCCCCCAAGGTGCCCATCGTGAGGAGCGCTTCCTGCCTGCGTGGCCTCTCCTGGCACCAGCCCCTCCCCGGCCTGGTCTGCAGTCAGGTATTCCCCAGGCCAGCCTGTTGGGGAGCAGAGGGGGCAGGTGGCTGGGGCTGCTGGGGGTTGTAATCCAGCCTCCCCCCCCCCCCCCAGGTTCGGAATGAGGTTGCTTGGGGGGGGAGGCCCTCGCTTGGAGGGGCACCCCTGGAAGGAGAAACGCCCCCACCCAGCTCCCAACGGAGTGGCTCAGTAGCAGCCCCTTTGCCCAGGAAAGGGAGGGGCAGCCGGCCCCTCTGGGGATGGGAGACCACCGGGAAAGCCCAGGGCGGTGCGTCGGAGGGGGGGCGGCGTGAGGGGGGCTTCCGCCTCTGCAGCAGCGCCGGGAGGGGGGCGGCGGGGGAGCCCCCTCCCACCTGCCGCAGAGGGAAGCCTCCCGCAGGAAGGAGGGCGGGGATTAGCCGGAGGAGGAGGAGGAGGAGGAGGAAGGCGGCCGCAGCAGCAGCAGCAGCAGGAGCAGCAGGCGCCGCCGCCGCCGCCGCCGAGCGAAGGAGCGGCCGGGCGGGCGGAGGGAGGCGGCGGTTGTCGAGCGAGAAGAGACGCGCGGCTCCCTCCCGCTGCCCCTTCCGCAGGGCCGGCGGCGGCGTGGTTGGCAGGCAAGGCGGCGGGGCGGCGGGGCGGGCGAGCCCGGGGCTTTGCGCCGCAGCAGGCCTCGCCGGGGCCGGGCGGGCGGGCGAGCCGTGCAGCCCCCCAGGGCGGGCGGGCGGGCGCAGCGGGCCCTGCAAGGGGGAGGGGTCTCCCTGGGTGGGCGACCCGCCCCTCCCCCCGCTCCCCCCCGCAGGCCGCGCTGACCCCCCTCCCCTCCCCCCGCAGGAGGAGCCCCCCGCTCCCCCGCAGCAGGGCCGGGCAGAAGAGGCGGATCCCCGGCCGGACTTTCTCCTGTTGGGCGGCCGAGCGGAAGAAGGGAAGCCCCCGCCTGCCTTGGCCGACAGATGCCCGGCTGGTAAAAGTGGATCTTCCGCCCTTGTGATCCGTTCGGCCTTTAAGGTCGCGATGGGGATCCGCTGGCCCCGCCGGCGGCCTTTCTGAGCCGGGGTGGGGGAAGGACCCCCTCCAGCCCACCCAATGTAGGCCGCTCGATCTGCCAAGGACCCTCCTGCAAGGGACGCCCGGAAGAAAAGGAGGCCTGGGCACGGCGGGCGGGGTGGGGGGGCTGCCTGGCTGCCCCCCACCCGGGATGGGGAAGTGACTCCTCCTGCAGCCGAAGGACCCGGGCCCTCCCTCCACCTGCGGGGGCTGGACTTGACTGCAAACCATGAACATGCGCCCCCCTGCCCTGGACAGGTACGCCCGGTGCTGTGCGGGGGGGGGGGGGGGGGGGGGGGGGGGGCGGGGGGGGGGGGCCCCCCGCGGCCCCCCCCAGGGGGGCGGCGGTGCGGGGGGGGGGGGGGGCCCCCCCCCCCCCCCCCGTGCTTGGCTTTGCCTTCCTGCAAGAGGGCCAAGCCTGGCACCCGCTAGTGCCCCCTTTGCAGAAGGCTGCCCCGTAGCCTGGGTCCGCTTCTTGGTGGGGATCCCTTCTCTGCAGGAAGGTTTTCAGGCCAAATGCCGTGTGGTCGGTTGTGAGTAATTTAAAAAACAAAGCGGACTTGCTGTCAGCGAGCGCTGCAACATGCTGGATCCTCGGGGAGGCCCTAATGTGTGATTTTTATTTCAATATTGGTCCTTCCCCCTTCTGGTCTGTGTGAAAAGGGAGTCCCATTTTTTCTTATAAAGCACCACCCTCGCAAATTGTGGCAGCAAGCAAAGCTTCTGCAGAATTTTGATCTCTTGGTGGTCTCCCATCCGAGACCTTTTTGGCTTCCTGACTCGGCTTAACTTTTGCAAAACCAACCACGGCTAGCAAGCTGCTCGGGGGGAGCAGGCCCAGGATGGGTCGCTAAATGTTGCACGTCACCAGGAGGGCAGAATTTGGAGCTCTGGCCTCTCTGTCTTGGCAGTCTGGAGTTTTTGTCATGTCAGCCGAAACAGGCTTTGTGGCCCAAGAGGCCGGGCTGGGCTTCATTCTGCCCTTTCGGAACTCGGAGAGGCTGCTGGGTGTTTGCAGCCCAGGAAATCCCCTCTGGACGGGGCCTGAACGGCCTTCCCTGTGAACAGCGGCGTGTCTGGAGGAGTTTGGGATTGTCCAGGCCTGCCCTCGGCTTCCTTCCCCCAGCTGGCCTCCTTCCAGATGTGCCGGACTTCAGCCCCCACAATTCCCAGGCAGCTGTTGGTGGGGAGGCATCGAGGACACGTCCCCGGATCGAGTTTCCGACGGGCTCTCTTTCCCCCCCAGCCCCCCCCACCCCACCCAAATGAGGCCATTGTGCGGTTAGTGCCTTTTGCTTGGCAGGTTGTGTGAGCTGAGCCACGGTGAGGGAACCTACAGACCCAGCCTAAGCAAGCCATCATGAGGGCTCTGTGTGTGTGTGTGTGATCCCAAGATGTGTTGAGACCAGGGATGACCCGAGAATGTCCTTGAGTCCCTCCTAGGACCCTCGACCCTCCCGCAAATGTGTGTGTGTCCGTCCGTCCGTCCGTCCCAGGACTGCTGGAGACCCCTATTGCTTGAGATTGCCGAGTCCAACTTCCCACTGGAGAGCAACCGGATTTTTGAAAATGCAGCCCTCCCCAAGACCCAACAGGAGTGGGGGGCAGCGGGGGAGGTGAAGGATGCTGGGTCCATGGAGGGAGCCGTAATTACCTCTCTCCGCCTGTAATTGTGGTTGCTGGCCGACTTTCTGTCTTTGCAGGAATCTGCTTGCTGCAGCAGAGCGCTGGGCCTGAGCTGCACCAGCCCCTGTGCCCCCGCCCCCCCGCAGCCCTCTGTGGACAGGGCAGCGTTGCCCCTCTTGTGAGGGGACCGTGTGCATTGTGGGGGGGTGGGCTGTTTTGAGGCTCCCCCTCCCCTTTCTGCACAAACCCCTCTGCTGTTCAGTTTGGAGGATGCTCTTGAAGTCGTCCCCTTTTTGGCTCTGGCTGGTTTTCTCCCTCTGAGGGGTGGTGGGGTGGGGGTGGGGGGCAGAAGGCTTAGGGGTGTTTTGTTTTATGGCGATGCAAGGTGGGGAAACCCCAGGGTCCACTTTGCCGTTCAGAAGTGGAGTCTTAGTTGCTGGGTGTGTAAGGAGGAGCTTCTGTGAACATTTGCAGCGTGGGCCAGTTGGATTCTCTTCTTTTAAAAAAGCTTTCTCAGCATGGCCCCTCCTCCCAGGTCTGCTTCTCTTTATCTTGAAGCAGAAGTGCTTCTAGTCCTCATGAACTGCAGGTGTTTAAAGCCACCTCCCAGCCTGCTTCTCTTTCCAGCTTGCTTTCTTTCTTCTCTTTGGACTTGGTGGGCCAATGGAAGCGGGACGGTCCGATCGGGTTCTGGGCCTGGGCCTGGGGGGCTGGGCTGCCATTCTTTGGGGCCCCCCTTGTGCTGCCCTCCCGCTTGCCGCTGAACCGGGCCTGGGGAGCAGCGCAGGGACCTACCGGGCCTTCCCTTCCTTTGAGCAGGGCCTGTGTTTTGTCCCCAGACACGCTTTGCTGCGCAGCGGCCAAGGGTTATTTTTAGTTCGGCTTGGATTTCCAGCAGGAGAGGGGAAGGCCGGCCGTGGGTTAGGGTCTGCGTGCTCTGGGTTTGTTTTTGAAGGGGCCGAGAGCAGGAAGCATTCTGTACGAGCGCAGAAACCCCTTGGCCTCGCCAGTCCTGTTTGCAGGCGGAGAGAAATGGGGGGGTCTGGTGGGTTTTGTGGAAGGCAGCTGGGTCCGTGGAAGGAGAGCGGCTGGGGCAGGAGGGGGACACCCAGGGCCGCCCAGGGCCGCTTCGCCTGTTTTTCACGCCCGCCTGTCTCCTTCCAAGCTGCCTTGGTCCCCTTTGCTTTCTCTTTCTCTCCTCTTTCCGCCAGACGCGCCAGTAAAAGGCACCCTCGCTTGCCCAGGTAAGGACCCCTCTTGTCACCGGGGTGGGGGTGGGGCTGCCCCAAACCGTAGCCCCTCCCCGCTGGGTCCCCCAAAAGATGGGTCAGCCCCTCGGCCCTTTGGCTGCTGCCTGTTTCCAGCCCCCTTGCCCAAATGCCGGTTCTCCCCTCGTTTGCCTAATACAGTTCCAGAGCCCTTGCAGAGGACTGAGGTGGGGGCCCCAAGTGGCCACCAACAGATCTCTGGGGGGCTTGTGGAGACCACCGGTGCCAAGGCTGCTGCAAGGGCCCTCTGGACCCTGGGTTGGTGTGGGCCAGCTAGCCCCAGGAGGGTCAATTGCTGCTAGAAAGGAGATGCGGCCAGCGGCCTCTTTTCATGCCCTGTGGTGGGGGACCAGTGGGAGCTGCAGAATGGCCGGGGGAGGCCTCTGGCCGGTTCCAGAAGGCCCCCCCCCCCGCCACCCATCTCCACGCCTGAGTAGGAACAAGTCTAAACTTGGCTTAATAACGTCTACTAAAAATGCAGCAGGCCGAAGCCAAGTCTGATCAGAGGCCTGAAAGGCGTGGATTGAAAAACCTTCGGAAGCCGTGGTCGGAATGGCTGGCTGAGGGCACTGAAGAGCTGGCAGTTGCCAGGGTGGGGACTCCTCCTCTGAAGGGGTGGAGGAGACTGAGATGGGGGCTCCCGCGGCTCCTGCCCATTCAGCGGTGGGCATTAACTCCCCCTTCTTGTCTGTCCTTCTGCACGTGGCCGCTTCGTGTGCCCTCCTCCGTCAGCCCCGTGGCTGCCTGGTAAGATCAGACCTGCTCCGGCCGCTGCCTGCCTTGGCCCCCCAAGTGCCCCCCCTCCTGGCCTGGCTTTGCCCCCCAAGCGTCTCGCCCTTGGCTCCTTAGCCCCGCTGGTGGCAAGCTGCACCCCTTTCCCAGGCTTCCCCCCCCCCCAGATTAGATGCTGTGGGAGAAAGGGGGGGCAAAGCTACAGAAGGATGGGGGGGGGACCAGCCTGCCCCCCCCCCCACCCTTGCAAGTCCATCCAAAGAGAAGGTGCCTTCTTGAGGTCCAGAGCTTCGTAATTTTGGGCAAGGCCAAGCCGCCCCCCCCCCCCATTGGCTGAGGAGGAGGTCCATTTGACCTTTGCCCCCAGGCTCAGGGGCGGAGAGGTCAAGGCCCAGGACCCCCGCCCAGAGCTCCTGCTGAAGTGGGTCAGTCCGGGCCTCCAGGTTTTCTCCGTTGGGCCCTGTGGGGAGGAAGTGGGGCCTCAGGGGGGACCCTCCAGATGCAGCCAGAGCGACGGGCTGCAGCCTTGCCTTCCCGCTGCCCCTTCCTCTCTCCGTCCAGGTTGGGCTCCCTGTCTTCCTTGGGTGACTCGGCTCTGGAACGGCGCTCGCCCAGCCACCATCGCCAGACCTCCGACTCCGGCGAGAGCACAGGTGCCTCCTTTGCTCCTCTGGGGGGGCCGTTGGGGAGGGGGAGGCTGGCACCGTGTTCCCTGCTCCCTCAAGGCCCGCTTCAGGCCTGTCCTGCCAGGGAGGCCCCCTTGCTCAGCCCTGGCCTTTCCTGGGTGGGGTGGGGGGGACACGGGGGGAGGCCTTTCCCTGCGGGGGGTGTGGACCAAGGGGCCTCTCTTGCCTGGGCAGGGCTTGTCCAGCGCTGCGTCATCATCCAGAAGGACGAGCACGGCTTCGGCTTCACCGTCAGCGGGGACCGTGTTGTGCTGGTGCAGTCCGTCCGGCCAGGTGAGCGGAGGCCTCTGGGTGGGGTGGGGGTCTCCTCTGCCGGCCCCCCAGGGCTCCGGCAGAGCTGGGCTCGGGGGGGGAGCTGGCCACTCTGCAGCTCTCAAGGGGGCAGCTTTGCCAGCTGCTCCCAAGGCTGTTGAAGGCCCCCCAGGCAGCCTCCTCCCTCCCACCCCCAATGGCTTCCCCGCCCCCTTCCTCTTACTCCCCCTGCCCCCCCCAGCCCCCCCATGGCTTTCTCTCTCTGGTCGCCTCTCCAGGCGGAGCCGCCATGAAGGCCGGAGTGCAGGAAGGCGATCGGATCGTCAAGGTGAGCGGCGTCTCCCAGGGCTGCCCCAGCTGCTGGGCTTCTGCCGCCTTCGTCTCTTCCCCAGGGAGGGCCGACTCTGCCCCCCCCCCGCCTTCCCGGGTGGCTCCTCTGCCGGCTGCTGAGCCTGACCTCCCTCTCCCCGCAGGTGAACGGGACCGTGGTCACCAACACCTCCCACCTGGAAGTGGTCAAGCTCATCCGATGTGAGTGGGCCGGGCTCGGGGCTGGGGAAGGCTGGAGCCTGGAGCCACAGCGGCTGCGTGGCCCGGGAGGGGGCGGGGGGAGACCCCGTTGGACGCGGCTGAAGGTCTCCCTGTGCTGCTCTCTCTGCTCCTCCTGCCCCGCCCGCTGCTCCCCAAGCTGGTGCTTACGTGGCTCTCACCCTGCTGGGCCCCCCTCCTTCGTCTCTGGGCCTCCTGGGACTGCAGCACGACCGGCCACAGGCAGGCCCCCCACCGACCACCTGCACGTGCCCCCCGCCACCGCCACCACTGCCGCCGTCTCCCCACCGGGTCACCGCTGGGCCAAAGCCACCCCAGGTACCACGGAGGTGCAGGTGGGGCAGAGTCGGTTGGGGGGGGTGGGGGGACTGCAGCACTGGAGCCCCAGGCTCACCTCTCTCTGGCCTTGCCAACCGTAGGACCCGGAAGTCCGGAAACACGCGGCGCAGATCCTCAGGAAAATGCTGCGTCAGGAAGAGGCCGACTTGCAGGTGTGGGCCGGGGTCAGGTTCCCCGCGGGGGCCGGGCCTGGGTCCTCCTGGCAGCAAGCGGGAGGAGTCGTAAGGCTGCCAAAATGCTTCCAGTTCCCCAAGGAGAGGAGCGTTTCGGAAGGGAAGCCCCTGACAGCCCCGCATCCCTGGCTTTCTCCCCAGCGGTGCTACGAGATCTACAGCCAGAACCCGGCGGCCTTGCTTGAGGAGCAGATCGAGGGGGCTCGGCGGAGGGTCAGCCAGTTGCAGCTCAAGATTTGGCAGGAGATGGGAGAGCTGGGGGTGAGCGGGGAAGGGGGCGTCCCTTGCGGGGCTGGCTCCCCGAAGGCCTGAGGGCCCAGGAAGAGAGAGGGAGGGTCCTTGGGCCTGGCTGGGCCTCCTGGCTATGGAAGCACCCACAGGGCTCTCTCTCTCCCACCCTCCCAGGACGCCCCCCGGCTGCCCAGCGACTCCGGCTCCTTCAGCTCCCGGGTGATGGAGGGTGAGTTTTGCTGCTGCCCCCTTTGAGAGCCGTAGACTGGCTGAGCGGAAGGGCCCCGGGGGTGGGGGGGTGCTCAGAGCGCCTGCCCGCTGGCTCTCAGGGAGCCTCCGGGGGTCCAAAGGTCTCCCCCTCTCCATGCCCCCCTGCCGCAGGGTTCCTTCTTGAGCCAGGGCTTCTCTCTGTCTGCTGCAGGGGGCCTCTCCGTCGACTCCCAGGATGGTGACAGCGGCCTGGACTCGGGCACGGAGCGCTTCCCTTCCGTGAGCGAAGTGAGCGCAAAGGGGCTCCTCCTCCCCGCGGTGCCAGGGAGAGAGCCCCTGTCGGTTGACCTGAGAGTGCCGGTTTCTCTTGGCGCAGGTCTCCCTCAACCGGAACTCCGTCCTTTCCGACCCGGGCCTAGACAGCCCACACACCTCACCCGTTGCCGCCTCGCGGCTCTTCACGCACCATCGCCGCCAAGGCTCCGACACCCCCTTCTCGCCCTCCACAGAGCAGGTGAGGGCAGGCGGGGCCAGTCCACGGGAGCTGCCTCAGGCGGGGCCTTCCACTTCCTGCCTCTCTTTGGGGCCTGAACATGGAGGTGTTCAAGGGCGCAGCGGTTTTGCGGTCCTTCTCCTCCTCCTCCTCCTCCTCCTCCTCCTCTACAGCACCTCCGTCTCTTTTCTGAGAAGATTTTAATCCCTTTTGTTCTGCAGAGTTTGGATCAGATGCTGCAGACGTCTATCATCGGCCCGGAAGAGGATTACGACCCGGGATACCTGGACAAGGAGGTGGGCTGCTTTCTCTTGCTCCCAGAGCCCCCTTCACGCCATTCCCAAAGGACCCCCCAGCCCCCAAGGGGGGGGGAACCCGCTGCTCTTTACAGCTTTTGCTGGGAAAGGCCCCCGAAAGTGGGTCCTTGAGGTGTGCAGGGAGGCCTAGTGGAGAGAGGGGTTCCTTTGCGCTGGTTTGAGCATCTCTTTCCCCGCATGGCAGAACGACTCTCTGTTCCAAGATCTGGGGAAGCTGAAGACGCGGCCGGCTCACCTGGGGGTCTTCCTGCGCTACATCTTCTCTCAAGCGGATCCGAGTCCCCTGGTAGGGTCCCCGGGGGGAGGGTCCCTTTCCTTGCCCAGTTTGTCCATCTTCTCCCCGCTTCTGGTTCTGCTGTGACGCCTCCGTCCTTCTCTCCTGGCAGCTTCTCTATTTGTGCGTGGATGTTTACCAGCAGCTGAGCCCCAAGGAAGCCCGGGCGCTGGGCAAAGACATTTGGCACATTTTCTTGGACAAAACTGCCGTGAGTGTGACCGGTCACATTCACCACGTCTGCCTCGGTGCTCCCGTGGTGCTCGCCCCTGCCTTGTGTGCGGCTCCCCAGTGGGGAAAGGGAGACGCCGCCGCCCAGGGCGCAGTGGCGCACGCAGAGGTCCCCGTGAGTGGTCAACCTTGTGTCTTCTGCCCCTCCTGCAGCCCCTGAGGGTCAAGGTCTCCGATCAGCTGTTGGCGGAAATTGGTGAGTCTGCAGGGAGCCCAGGCCAGCCAAGGTGCCCCTCTGTAGGAATTCTGGGGGGGTGGGAAGGGGGCTTCAGCCCACACACCTCCTGCTTCCTGGTGCCCTCCAGACGCTCGTCTGCGGAACGGAGAGGAGGCCCAAAGTGCTTTCTTGGAGGTCCAGGAGGCCGTCATGCCTGAGATCCAGGACCAGATCCAAGATTACAGGTTAGCAGGCCTGAAAGAAGCCGTGGGCCCACCCGGAAGGGCCAAGGGGGAACGCAGCTGGGGTGGCCCTGCCAGCGGGACTTGGCCCAGGTTCGGTTGGTTTCCGAGAGGGAGGGCGAACCTCCGTGTGGGCCCCCTCCTGTCCGTGCTTGCAGGACGAAGCGGACGATGGGCCTGGGGAGCCTCTACGGAGAGAACGACCTGCTGGAGTTGGACGGGGAGCCCCAGAAGGAACGCCAAGTGGCCGAGAAGCAGCTGGCGCAGCTGGGGGACATCCTGTGAGTCCCGCTGGTGGGCGAGGGGTCTGTTGGGGCCGAGGTCGCGGTTGGCCTCTCGGGCAGCACGTTTGCCTCGACCCGCCTCTGAAAGGGCCACGCTCGGGTGCCTGACGGGCTCGCCCGGGCTCAGCTCAGATGAGACCCGTCGTCACCCAGAGCAATGCTTTCCAAACTCGGCAACTTTAAGAGGGTGAACTCCAACTGCCAGAATTCATGCTGGCTGGGGAATTCTGGGATTCACGTTTTCACGTCTTAAAGTTGCCAAATTTAAGAAACGTTGTCCTAGACGTAGTGGGCAAGAAGAGAAGACGGGATGCCAGGGCAGCTTAAGCGGGATCTGACGTGACGTTTGCTCTCCTACTTTAGATCCAAATATGAAGATCGGAGGTGAGTGTCTCCTCTGAACTCAGCACCTTTAAATGTATAATTTCTACGCATTCAGTTCTTCGCGTTGTGTAAGTTTCAGGAAAGTATCTTGAAAATATCAACCTAAATAATTGATTGCTGAAAAGTCGATTAAGATTATCCCTGGTAAATTACTAGTTTGCTGACTTGCAGTATCTGTTTGGGGCCTCTTCAAAGAAGGAGCGGGTCTTTCTTCTGGGGAGCATCCTGGGCTCCCTCCCAGAATGCACTGTTGGTTCCTTGAAGGGGAGCCAAGCTCGGCCAAGGCCTCTTCAGGACCACGGAGAGCTCCGTGAGGGCACAGACGTTGCTCCCACCGGAGACACAGGGAGGGTTTCCGAGGGCTGCGTTGGGGTTTTTCTTTCTTTTCTCCAGCCAGACTGCCCTCCCCTCTCCTTTCAGCTCCCCCATGAGCTTTGCCCTGAAGACCTACATGATCCACATGGGCATCTGCCCCCAGGAGGCTCGCCCGGCCAGCGTGGTGGAGAAGGCCCAGGAGAAAGACAAATGGCTGCCTTTCTTCCCCAAGACCAAAAAGGTGGGTGGCGAAGCCGGAAAGCGCGGGACCCTGTCGTCCTCGCCCCCCCCTCCCCTCCCCCAGCCCGGCTCGAGGCACCCTGACCCGCCTCTCCCTTCTCTGGGGCCACAGAGCAGCAGCGGCAAGAAGGAGAAGGAGGCCGCGGTGGAGGACAAGAAGAGGAACCCCATCCTCAAGTACATCGCCAAGCCCAAGAGCTCCTCCCAGAGCAGTGAGTCCCTTGGGGGAGGGGGCTTCCTGCAAACGGCTCCCCTCCTTCCTTTCCAGACCCCCCCCCCCCCACCTCCCAGGCTGGCCGGGCGGGTCCTGCCGCCACCCCCACCCCCTGCTCTTCTTTGTTCGGCCCCTCTCATCAGCCGCATCAACTTGGTGTTGACATCCCATTTCTGTTTTCCTTTCCAGCATTTCATGTCCCCCTGTCCCCCGTTGAAGGTAAACACGACCCCTCCCCTCCCTCCCCCCCAGCTGCCCCTCCTCCCCTCCCCCCTGTGCTTTCACAACGGGGGAGGGTGAGCGTAGCTCCCAGGACCCGTATTCTGCCAGGGTGGGGCGGTTTTTTCCGGGGCTTCCGGCCGTCCCCACTGGGGCTTCTGAAGTGGCTGCGGATGCTGGAATCCAGGGGGGGCCATGGGCTGCCTGGCTCCCCCGTTGGGCCTTGGGGCACCTGGGGGCCCCGGGGTAGCTGGGTCTGGGGGAAGGGGAAGGCCAGGGAGGGGCTTCTCCCTCTACGCCCCCTCCCAAGAAGTCTCGGCAGAGCCCCGGTGGCCTCCCTCCGCTCTTCCTGGGGGCACAGGAGTGGCGGATCCTTTCTGGGGGTCTGCAGGAGCTCCTTGTCCCCTCCCCCTCCTGGCTCTTGGAGGGCCGGGCTCGGTGGCCAACCGCCGGTCACGCAGGGGGGGTGCTTAGCGGCTTCCTCTTCAACAGTGAAGCCCGGCAACGTGAGGACCATCATCCAGCATTTTGAGAACAGCCAGAGCCACGATGGCCAGGAGGCCGGCCAGCAGCGCCTTTCCACGGGCAGCTTCCCCGAAGACCTTCTGGACTCTGAAAAGTGAGGGGCTCCGGCCATTCCTCCGGGGGGGGGGAGGGGGCTCTTTTCCTAATGACCACCAAGCTGCTGATTCTGTGGGGGGAGGGGGAGGCGCTGGGGAACCCCGAATCCTCAGCTGCTTCCCCCTTCCTCCAGTTCCAGGGCCGAGGTCCGGCTGGGCCGGTCGGAGAGCCTGAAGGGGCAGGAGGAGCTGAGACGGCTGCGCAAGGCCGAGAACGTCCCCCGTTCCCGCAGCGATGTCGACATGGATGCTGCCGCGGAAGCGGCTCGGCTCCACCAGTCAGCGTCGTCCTCTGCCTCCAGCCTCTCCACCCGGTAAGGGGCCGGAGCGGCTGCGTAGTGGCATGGCCGTGGCATCTCCCTGGCGTCCGAGCCCGGCCGGGTGTTGCCCTCTGAAGGGAGGGCAGAGCGTGGAGGCTGTTGGGGAAGGGAAGGGGGGAGGGGGGGGAGAGATCCTTGCCCTGGGCTGACTCTGCCACGTCTCCCGGTCTCCAGGTCCCTGGAAAACCCCACCCCGCCCTACACTCCCAAGATGGGGCGCAGGTGAGTGGAAAGAAGGGCGGGAGAGGTGTCCCCACCTGGGACCCCGGGCTCCCTTTTACACCCAGCAGCTGCTGACAGAACCGCCCCCCCCCCCGTCCATGCGGGGGGGGCTGGTGCTCCTTGCTTGCTTTCCTCCCCTTCTCCGCTCCTCCCGGGGCCCAGCCTGACTCCTTCCTGTCCCGGCAGGAGTGTGGAGTCCCCCAGCCTGGGCTCCAGCTCTGAGGCCTTCCTGCCCCACTTGCTGGAGGACGAGCTCGGACAGTTCTCGGACCTGGAGGCAGAGCCGGACTCCCAAAACTGGCAGCAGACGGTGGGCCGGGAGGTGTCCGCCCAGCTGCCTCCGCGGGAGATCGACCGCCAGGAGGTCATCAATGGTGAGGTGGGGGAGGACCTGGTGGGTCTTTGGAGAGACCCTGGGGGTGGGGGGCTCTCCCTGGGGGGAGGAGCCCCGAGCCCAGCTGGATCTGACTGGATCCTGATGCCCGCCCCGCCCCCCCAGAGCTCTTTGTGACCGAGGCTTCCCACCTGCGGACGCTGCGCGTGCTGGACCTGGTTTTCTACCAGCGCTTGAAGAGGGAGGGGCAGCTGTCCCGGGAGGAGCTGGCTCTGCTCTTCCCCAACCTCCCGGAGCTGATTGAGATCCACAGTAAGCCCCTCCCCCCCCAGTCCTCCCCCCTCGGCCCCTGGGAGTCCCACCGGACGCAGCTCTTGGGGGACACAGGGAACGAACAGAGTGGGAAGGAAGAGGCAGGGGGGGCTAGGAGCGGTTTTCCCGGGACTGGCGGGGGTGGGGGTGGGGGCTGCTGTCCCCTGTCCCAGAAGGGGAGGGTCGCCACTTTGGGTCTCTTCAGGGGGGACTGAAATTAGGGGGTGGGCTCACAGTCGGGTTAGGGTTAGGCTGAGGTTGGGGAGGCAGGTGTGTTTGTGTTGGGGGGGGGTTGGCTCCTCTTAGTCTGCCCCCCCCTTCTCTTCCGGCCCAGATTCCCTGTCGGAATCCATGAAGAGGCTGCGGGAAGAGGGGCCGGTGGTGAAGGAAGTCGGAGACCTGATGCTTTCACGGGTGAGCCACTGAGGGGGGGCTGTGGGGCCTGGGTGGCCGTGGACCTGGTTCCCGGGGGGACCCCATCTCCCCCTCCGCTTCCTCCCCCCTAGTTCGATGGGGCTGCGCTTGAGGAATTCCAGCAAGTGGCTGCGGAGTTCTGCGCCTACCAGTCCATGGCACTGGAACTGATCAGAACCAAGAAGCGGAAGGAGACCCGCTTCCAGCTCTTCATGCAGGTGGGCTGTGGGACCCTCGGCGGGGGGGGCAGGGAAGAGCCCGGGAGTGGGCGGTGGTTGGGCTTAAGGGAGGAACCGAAGGAGGCAGCCGGAAGAGCAGCTGTGAGGTGCCCCTCGTACCGCCTGGGACGTACCTGGGGGGCGGCTTTGGTGGGGTACCCGCCCAGCCCACTTTGTGCTGCGCTCCCTAGGACGCCGAGAGCCACCCGCAGTGCCGCCGGCTGCAGCTGAAGGACCTCATCATCTCCGAGATGCAGCGCCTGACCAAGTACCCGCTGCTGCTGGACAGCCTCATCAAGCACTCCTCAGGTGGGCGCCCCCTCCTCCGCAAGATGGCCGCCCCCTCCTCCGCAAGACAGCCGCCCCCTCCCCTTCGCTGACCCCTCCCCTCCGGCCCCTCCCCAGGGCAGGCTGCGGAGCACCAGAAGCTCTGCCGGGCCCGGGACCAGTGCCGGGAGGCCCTCCGCTACGTGAACGAGGCGGTCAGGCAGGCGGAGAACCAGCAACGCCTGGAGTCCTACCAGAAGCGCCTGGATGCCTCCTCGCTGGAGCGGACCAGCAACCCCATCGCCGCGGAGTTCAAAGTAAGCCCACGCCTGTGGGGGGGGGGAGGGGCGTCCCTGCGTGGCCCCAGCTGACCTCTTCCTGCCTGCCCCGCCCAGAACCTGGACCTGCGAGGCCGCCGGATGATCCATGAAGGGCCCCTCACCTGGCGCATCAGCAAGGACAAGACCGTGGGTCTGTAGGGGCCGAAGGGGAGGGGTCTCTCAGGGGGAGGGGGCCAGGTGTCCCCTGGCTGTGGCCCCCAGAGGGCCTGTGGTGGGAGTCCGGCTGAGGAGGTCCCACCCTCCATCTCCCCAGACCTGCAGGTGCTGCTCCTGGGGGACCTGCTGGTGCTGCTCCAGCGGCAGGACGAGAGGCTGGTGCTGAAGTGCCACGGCCGGGCAGGGCTGGGCTCCTCGGACCCCAAGCAGAGCTTCAGCCCCGTCCTCCGCCTCGGCTCCGTCCTCATCCGCTCCGTGGCCACCGGTGAGCCCGGCCCCCTCCCCAGGGGGGCTCCAGAGCTTTGGGAGGGGGCTTCCGAGGCCGGGGGGGGTGTCTCAGGCGCCAGGTGGGGGTGCTGAGTGTGGCCCCCGCCGGCCTCTGCTTCCTTCCGCAGACAAGCGCGCCCTCTTCATCATCTGCACCTCCGAACTGGGGCCCCAGATCTACGAGCTGGTCGCCTCGACCTCCCTGGAGAAGAACACGTAGGGGCAGCGGGGCAGGGCGGGGCCGTCCTCGGGGAGGGGGCTCCTTTTTTGGCCTGAGCAACCCGTGGCTGGCTGAGGGTTCACAGGGGCTGCCCCCCCCCATTCCAAGGGGCCCCTGAGAAAGCCGCCCCCTCCTGCTCTTTCCCGGCAGGTGGATGGGGCTCCTAGAAGAGGCGGTCAAGAGGGCCACGCAGGCGGCCACGCAGGCCCCCCAGCAGCAGGCACAGGAGCTGCGTCCCCACCGGCCGGCCCCAAGCAGGTGGGCGAGGGTCCCGCAGGAGCGGGCAGAGAGGGGAGGACCGGGCCTCGTGCCCCCCTCCTCCTAGGCACTGCCCTCTCGTCTTTCTCCACAGCTTCATCTTCCGGGACGCTGAGATCAGCCCCAGGCTGGGCCAGGGGAGCAGCCCCCCCGGCCGTGAAGCAGAGGAAGAGCAGGAGGAGGAGGAGGAGGAGGGAGGGGCGTCAGGTAGGCAGCTGCTGGGGGGAGGGGGGCTTTGGCCCCAGCAAAAGGCAGGGAGGGGCATTTGCTGGTTAGGGTTCTTCCCCACTGGCTGGGAGGAGGGGGGGCAGCTCCCCCCCAGCTGCTCCTCAGCCCCCCCCCCCGCCCTTCACAGATGACACTCCGACTGAAGCAGAGCGGCTGGAAGTTGGGCACCCAGAGGAAGAGGAGGAAGAAGAGGAAGGCAACCCGCCCCCGGCACCCCCCTTGCCCCCTCTGGAAGAAACCCTCTCCGAGAGGCCCCCCTGCTTGGAGAGCATGGCTGAGTCCGCCCTGGGGGATGGTAGGTGTCCCCTTGCCCAGGACGCGCGGCGGGGCCAGGCCGGGCCCCTGGGGGGCCCCTGCTGTGCTTGGGGGGCTGGTGGAAGCGGGCGGGCAAGACTGAAGGTGGCCCTTCCCCTCCTCTTCCCCCAGTGGAGACCCTGCGGAGGCTCCTCCTGCACAGCTTCCTGCCCTGCCGGGACTCCGAGCCAGAAGATGACCTGACCCCCACCCCTTCGGGGGTCAGCCACAACCAGCACCGGGGCGTGGCCCCCTCGGAGGGCCCCAGCGCCTCTGCCCTCCCCGGGCCCCCGGAGCTGGACACGCAGGGGGCCATGACTGGCTCCCCATCCTGGGCCCCCCCATGCGATCCGGGGCCTGGCGAGGCTCTGGAGCAGGTGGGGCCCCCTGTGGCCCAGGAGACTCCCAGCGGGTACCTGGTGGTGCGGAAAGGTAAGTGCAGGGGAGGGGCGCCAGGGAGTAGTGGCGGGCCCTGGCACCCCCCACCCCCCCGGTGGCCTTTGGGGAGGGGCTGGGCCCTTTGGCTTGATCTGCAGCAGTTCCAGCTCCCCCTTCCACCCCAGCCCCTCCCCAGTTCGGCCCGCCCCCCCCCCCGTTGTGTCCTCCTCCTCCTCCTCCTCCTCGCCTGCCTCTCGCTGCCTCCGCTTGCCTCTCGGCTGCTTTCCTGCGGGTGGCGGGTGCTGGAGCCTCCCGGGATTCCCAGTGGTGACGACTCTTGTTTCTCCCCCCCCCCACCATCCCCCCCCCCCCTTTCTTTTTCCTGGTGTCTCTTGCTCAGCTGAGGTGGAGGGGAATAAAAGTGCTCAGCTCTTGATAGCGAAAGGCAGCCAGGCGGGAATTGACGCCGGAGCCCCCCCTAATGCAGATGGTAAAGAGAAAAACTAGAAGCCCCCACCCCAGATTATGCCAATCGGGGCCACTCTGGTCCCTGAGGCTGGGGGCGGGCGAGGGAGGGAGGGAGGGAGGGGCCGCTTCCCTTCAGCCTCACTGGGCTATTTTATTTAAATGAAATCTGCGCAACCACCACCTCACACACGGAAATCGGGGGGGGGGGGCGCACACAAAGGCAAACCAGCACCGCAAGGGAGACTGCAAACCCCGAGAGTTGCGTTTTAAGCAGGGAGGCCATTCAGCGGCGGCGGCGGCAGCAGCAGCAGCGCCTTCCTCCCCAGGTGCTTCTTCCCTCTCAGCCTGGCACCTCATTGCGCACCTGCTGCAGGTGGAACATTGGCCTGGCAGGGCTTGAAAGAGGTCCAGGCTGGGCACGTCTGCCATTGCCTGCGCTTACAACGGGGGAGTTGGCGGTGGGAGGGGGAGGCAGAGGTTTTGCCCAGTTGAATCCCAGCTGGGGCCTTTCAGGGCCAGGAGCCCCTTCCCCAAACAGGCCCCTCTGAGTCGCCATCCTCCTCCTCCTCCCAGGAAACACTTTCTACTTGAGCCTGCTGGCCCACCCGGGGGAGCCCCAAGCAGCTGCCGAGAGTGTCGGGGAGACTGGGAGTGCTTTGAGCCGGGCGCCATCTCTGCCTCCCGCGGTGCCGTTGCCCAGCTGCCAAGAGAGCACCGGGGAGACCCCGGCAGGGTGGCTGAGCCCGGCAGAGCTGCAGGGCACGCAGGACACGGAGGCCATCTTCCGGACAATAGAGCAACTCACCCTCAAGTTGACCAAACTCAAGGTGAGCCTGTCAGGGAGGCAAAACGGGTGGCGACGCGGCATATGCCCAGAGAGGGGTTGGGGGGCAGGGAGGGGGCCTAGCTGCACCCCCCTGGCAGCTCCCTTCTCCCCTTGCAGGACGTGGAAGGGGCGTACCAGCAGCTGCTGCTCCAGGGGCACGTCACCCCCGAAGCCTCGTTGCCAGAACCCGGCCGGATGTCACCCAGCACCCACCGGGGGTCCAGAGTCAGCCACCCCTCCCCACAGTCCCCAGTGGCTGCCAAGCCTGGTACGAGGGCCGGAGGGTCCCGGGGCCACATCCCTGCCGGCTGTCCCCCCGGGGGGACTGACGCCACTGTCTTTGCAGATGTGAACGGGCTCTCGCTTGCCCTGCCCGAAGACAGCTCCCAGGAAGTGACCCTGTAGGGTGGGATGGCCTCCGCCAAGGAAGGAAGGAAGGAAAACGCACCTCCGGGTGATGCCTCCTTTGCCCTCCCACTCCTCCTGGCCTGTGCTGAAGGTGGGAGGAGGCCGTGGATGGGACCAGGAGCTGCCAGGGTGAAAAATGGCCAAACCGAGGAGGAAGCGGAGACGAGCGGGAGGAAGCCTCGTGCGGAAGGACAGGCGCCGGCTTCGTGTGCAAACATCCCGAGGCTTCCCCAATGGGAGCGAAAGCACTTTCAGCTCGGTTTTGTCCCCTAGATGAATTGATGGTGTGCGTGAGAGATACGTAGACCAACGCACAGCCTGCACAGGACAGCGGGAGTATATGGTGTATAATTGCACTTTTGTTTTCCGGAACTTCTTCTCTCCCCCCCCCCACCTCCTCCTCGGGTATAAATATGTATGTATGTGCGTTGAGGTTGTGTAAATACCACAGGCGGTTGTTTCTCCCCCCCCCCCCTTTTTCTTTTCGACTTGTCTCCATTCCTTCTTCCGAGGCTCCGGTGAAGGGCCTGGCCCTCTTGGGGCGGGGAAGGCTGCTCGCGGAAGCAGAGGCGACCCCTGGCTCTTCTCAGGCGGCTGCCAACCGGTTCACACGGGCCCCTCCCCTTCCCCCCTCCCCCCGGAGTTTGTGCCACGGGCGCACCAGAGTTACACACTGAAAGCAGGTTTTATTGCTTTCAGCCCTAAAAGATTTTTCAGCAGAAAAATAAAATATTCTTCAACCTCTTGCAGGTGAGAGTGGCCTGTTTTTTTTCCCACTTAAAAGCAGGTGGTCACGGAAGGCCCAGAGGGAGCCTGGCTAAAGGCTGAAGGAGGGAGGGGGCCTGGGGAGGGGCTCTGAGCAAGCAGGGGCTTTCTTTCCTCCCAGGGCTCGGAGCAGCCAAAGTCTTTGGGTTGAAAAGCAGAGAGGTGGGCTGTGGAGACCCCTGGACCTGGGCCAGCCAGCCGGAGAGGACGGGGGTGCAGGTGGCTGGGGTGGTCCCACCAGCGTTGGCAGGGTCTTAACACAGAAGAAAAACTCCAGGGTCCCTCGTGGGGCTTTTAATGGGCGGAAGGCCGGGCTCCGTCCTTGCAGCCTTGGGGGTGGGGGGGGGAGAGCCTTTGAGTGAGGGGGCTGGTCTGCCCTCCGGTGCCAGTCCTGGAGGCTCCCCCCGGGAGGTTGGGCCTAGAGCTTCTGGGTGCAGGATCCTCGGGGAGAAGTTGGCTCGGTTTACTGGGCAGCGGCGAGCAGCTCCTCCTCTGGCCTGGAGGCCCTGGGGAGGGGGTCTCGGGGCCCCATGAGCTCCTGGATCCTGGCGTAGGTCTTGCTCTCGGCCGGGAAGAGGTTTTTCTGGGAGGGTCAACAGAAAGGGGGGGGCCGTGGGGTTGAGGGCTCCAGCTGGCGGGGGAGGGGGCCCCCCCCCCCCCCCCCCCGATTGGCAGGGAGGGACTCACCGCCAGGGTGAGATGCAGCAGGCCGGTCGGCCCCTTGCCCCCAGGAAGGATCCGGCTGACCTGGTACTCCACTGTGGCCAGGAAGGCCTTCAAGCCATTCTCCGAGATGCGGTTTCCTTGGGAGGCAAGCGGGGGGGGGGGGGGGCCCCCCGGGGAAGCGCCTTCCTCCACCCCGGAGCCCCCCCCCAGCCCTGCCCCCTCCCTGCAACCTACGCATGAGGTTCAGGTAGATCAGGACGCGGTTTCCCTGAAGGAAGACCTGCCCCTCGCGGTGCTCGGCTGGTTCCAGCAGGGGGTTCATCATCTCGGTGGGCTCCAGGATTTGCTGCGAGGGGGGAGCAAGCCAGGCAGGGACAGGAGTTGGGGCGGGAGAGCTATGGGTCCCCCCCCCCCAAACACACACCACCGCTTAAGCGTCTGGCTAGGGGGCGGCTCGGGGGGCTCACCTCCACTTCCGGGACCTGGGACCGCTTGTCCTTCGAGCCCAGCTTCACCCCCTTGGCCCACTTCGCTTTGGGATCAAGGGGGGGGGCAGCTGCGGGAGACAACGGAGCTCAGGGGCCTGGGGGAGGCCTCCAAGGCCGGGGGAGGGGGAAGGGCCTGGCAGCCCAGCCAGAACCTTTCTTGGACTGCTTGGCGTCCTCCTTCTTGGCCTGGGCCGCTGGTGCTGCCGGTGGCTGTGCGGGAGCTGCTCCGCCCACTGGGCCCTTTTCCTCCTTTTTGGTGGGTTCCTGGAAGAGGTCAGACGCTGGTCTCTGCCTGCCAGGGAGGTGCTCTACCCTCTCTGGGTGCCCCCTCCCCCAGACCCGCCCCCTGTCCTCGGGATGGCTCGCCTTCTTCTTGACGGCCTTGGCGCCCTTGGCAGCCTGCAGCTTGTCGATGGTGGTGCTGCTGGCGTGGCTGGTGGGACGGTCGCTCTTCAGCTCTGAGTGTCTCGGGGGCTGGCGGAAGGCAAAGGGGGCGGGGGGGTCCCAATTCACAGTGTGCATGGGTGCCTCTGCCAGTTCAGCCTCCCCCGCAGGCCGGAGCCCCAGAACCAGCCACTCACCAGGCGGCCTCTCTCCTGGGCCTCCTTCTCCAGCAGCAACCGCCGCCTCTCCACCACCTCCGTGTGGGTGAGGGCGAAGGGGCCGAGCACCTGCAAGGCAAGCAGCTGGCTGAGAGACCCCTTGTGGCCGCCCTCTGGTCTCCCTGGGCCCAGGCTCCTCCAAGGGACTGACCTCGGCCAGCTTCATGGCACCCTCGTCCCCAATCTGGTTATGCGCCAACGACAAAGACAGCAGGGACCGGTTGAGGCGCAGGCCCTGCGCAGAGGGAGGGGCACCTCAGGCCAGGCTCAATTGCCAGTTGCCCCCCACCCCCGGGCCCTGGATGGTCAGCCTCCGCATAGTGCCCCCTCCCCCCCACAGCTGGTCCTCAATGGGGAAACCGGCCGGCCTGCCAAGCAGAGCCCAGGGGCCCCTTCCCAGCAGCCTCACGTTGGCGAGGTGGGTGGCGCCCGCATCGGTGATGTGGTTGTAGCTGAGGTTGATGGAGACCAGGTTCTTGTTGGAGCTGCGGAGCGAGGAGAGTCCCTGGCCGATCAGCAGCACCGCCTGGTCATCAATGCAGTTGTTGCGCAGGGAGAGGTGGGCCAAGCTGGGGAGAGAGGCAGGGCCGTGGCAGGGGAGGGGGGGGCGCCCCTTTCCCCCCCTGCCAGCCTGGGCTCCTCCTGGGTGCTCATCAGGGAAAGCCAGGCCGGGGAGGGGGGGTTCGCCAGGAAACGGGAGTCCTTGTGCTCTGCAGCCTCACCTGCTCTCCTCCGAAAGCAGCTTGTAGAAGGAGCGCTCGGGCAGCGGGTTCCCTTCCAAGACGAAGGTCCTGCAGGGCAAGAGGAGAAGCAGGGCCCCCATGCCCAGCCGCCCACCCTTCCCTCCCCCGCTCCCCAGCCCCGGGGTGGGGGCACCTACTTGAGGTTGCCGCAGGCGGCCAGCACGGGCAGCAGGGAGCCGAAGGCAAGGTCGCTCAGGCCGACCTTCCAGAGGCTGCAGAGGCGGAAGAGAGCCGGGCTGTCCGGAGCAAGAGAGCCCCCACCGCGCCTCCCCCTGCCCCGCCGCGCCTCCCCCCGCCCCGCCCGCCCGCTCACTCACTGCAGGGCCTGGAGGTGGGCGAGGGCCGGCAGGCTCTTGGCCAGGACCCCCAGCATCTTCTCCTCGATCTTCCAACCTGCGGGCGGCAGAGAGGCGGGCAGAGCGGGGTGGGGGAGGAGGGGAGGGGGGCGGGCGGGCGGGGGGCCGGTGGCGGGGACACTCACTGCGGATGAAGACCTCGCGGGCGCTCTTGGGGTCCTCGTGCTCCAGCTCCACCTGCACGCAGGGCCGGAAGTAGGCGTACTTGGCCTGGATCTGGGCCAGCGCCGACAGCGCCTCCCGCTGCTCCCCCGCCGGGCCCGCCGCGCCCTCCGCCTCCTCCGGGGAGGCTCCGGCGGGCGGGTGGGGCCGGGCGACCACGCGGGGGGCCTCCTGCAGCCCGGCGCGCGCGCAAAGCTCCGGGAAGTCCACCTCCAGGGCGCCGCTGCACACGTACTCCTCGGCGGGGGGGGGGGGGGGGGGGGGCGGCGGGGCCGGGGGGCGGGGGTCGCGCGAGGGGGGGTCGCGCGAGGGGGGCCGTCACCTTCTCCGTGCTCGGCCCTGCGCGCCGCGATGCGCGCCTCCTCCTCCTGCGCGGCGCTCTTGTCCTTCGCTCCCCGCTCGCCCTTCTTGCCCATCGCGGCGGCGTCCGAGGGGCGTCCGGGTCGCCCGGCAACCGCGGAGGGGGCGGAGTCAAGCGTTCCAGCCCCGCCCCGCGCGGGGCCTGACGGGAGCCGTAGTCCGCCGGGGCGTCTCGCGGGGTAGACGGGAGGCTCCGGCCCCGCCCCCGACGCCGGCGTGCGCGTCCCCCGGGCGGCCTGGCCGGTCTGCGCTGCGAGATGGCGGCGCCCGGAGAGGAGTCCGACGCCGAGCTGGAGGAGCTGCTGGCCAGTGAGCGGGCGGGCCGGGGCGGGGGGCGGGCGGCGAGGCCCGCGGGGTCTTCCGGCTGCCCGTCCGACCGACCCCGCTGCGCTCTCTCCCTGCAGGCGCCCTGGAGGACTTTGAGAGGGCCGCGCCCGGGGAGCCCGCCGGAGGAGGAGGAGGAGGAGGCGGCGGCGGCGGGGCCGGCGAGGGGGGCGCGGAGCCGGCGGGGGAGGTGCAGGTAGGCCGGGGCTCTGCCGGGCCGGGGGGGGGGGGCGAGGGGCGAGGGTCTCCCCCTCCCGGGCAGCGCCTGCAGCCTCCGCGCTTCGCCCCCGCAGGGCCGCCTGCTGGCCGCGCAAGAGACCTTCTTCCAGGAGCTCTTCGAGGGCGAGCTGGCGTCGCAGGCGAGCGCCGAGTTCGAGCGGGCCATGGAGGAGCTGGCGGCCGAGGAGCCGCTGCTCGTGCAGCAGTTCCAGAAACTCTCGGCCGCCGCGGGCAGAGTCGGTGAGCGGCGTGGGGAGGCCCTCCGGGCTCGGGCGGGGGTCGCGGGGCTCTTGGGGGGGAGAGCCCGGCGAGCGCTGCCGCCTCCGCCTCGTTGCAGGGAGCGACGCCGCGTCGCGCCAGGAGTTCACCTCCTGCCTGAAGGAGACGCTCAGCGGGCTGGCCAGGAACGCCGACGGCCTGCAGGTGCGTTCCCCGGTCGACCCCCTCCACACCAGGCCCCGCCGCCCTTCCCTCTCTGCGCCCCTGCGGGCAGGCAGGCGGGCAGAGCCCTCCCTGCCAGCTGCCTCTCTCCCTAGAGCTCCGGGGTGTCGGAGGAGGAGCTGAGCAGGACAATGGAGGGGCTCGGCCTGGAGGAGGGGGACGGCGGGGAAGGCAGCCTCTGGCCCATCATGCACAGCATCATGCAGAACCTGCTCTCCAAGGACGTGCTCTACCCCTCCCTCAAGGAGATCACGGAGAAGGTAAGGCCAGGCTCTGCTGGGCTCAGTGCCTCCCAGCAACCGCAGGAAGCCCACCCCTCCCTGCAGCTTCCTTCCCAACTCCTGCAGAAAGGCAGGAAAGGGGTTGCCTGGGGCTCCACATCGTTCCACCCCCGAAAGGCAGGAGGTCATCTGTGACCTCACAGTGGACTCCCCCGCCCCCCAGTACCCCGAGTGGCTCCAGAGACACCGAGACTCCTTGCCCAGGGAGCAGTTCGAGAAGTACCAGGAGCAGCACAGGGTCATGGGAAGGATCTGCGAGCAGTTCGAGGCTGAGCAGCCCACGGACGGCGACCCACAGCACAGGGCCCGCTTTGAAGCGATCTTGGACCTGATGCAGCAGGTGAGGGGCCGGGTGGGCTGGGTGGAGGGGGATGCGTGGAGCTTGGGGCTAACTGTGCCCTTTGCCTTCCAGCTGCAGGACCTGGGACATCCTCCCAAGGAGCTGGCCGGAGAGTCGGTGAGTGTCTGTTTGGCTGCCCCTTCCTCAGGCTTGGATTCGGAGCCACGGTCTTGCCAGCAGCTTTGGCATCACAAAGCGAAGGGGGGCAAAGGAGGACGCTGTTTAGCGCGGCTTGAACCCGCCGGTGTTTCCAACAGCGAGTCCTTCCTATGGGACACAACACCCCACTCCCTGCAGAGGAGCATTTCTTTCTTGTGAACAAGCGTTCCTCCTTTTCCAGCCTCCTGGCCTGAACTTTGACCTGGAAGGACTGAATCTGCCTGATGCTGGAGGCACCGGAGGCGAGCAGTGCCAGATCATGTGACTTGCTCCCATGCCAGGGAGATTTGGGAGGGCCCTGTGGTGGGTTGAGGTGTTTGTGTCTTTCTTGCCTGTTTTCTGTCATCACCAGGTACCTGAGGCTGGCTGCCTTTGCTAAGCCCGGCATGTGGTTTTGCAGGGATCCCACAAGGGACCTTGCAGGCCAGAATACTGATACCCTGATGTCAGCTTTGCCTCTTGGCTTCTGGAGAGACGAAGGCCCCAAGGACGTCCCTTCCTTCCTGCCCTGAGTTGATGGACAGGCTCTCTCAGATGAGGTTGCTGCCAATGAAATGATCAGGCTGAGGGAGGAGGCAGTGGCTCATGAGAGTGAAGGGCGACCTCCTGCACCTACTTCCGATGGCCCAGCTCTGCTGCTCTTCTCCGGCAGTGACCCCCAGTTCAGTCTCTGTATCTGGAGCCGCCCCTTTCCTTGAGCCCCAGCCAGTCAGTCTCTGGATCAGGAGCCAAAGGCCCCCTTTCGATGATGCCAGGCAAGCTGACCAGCTCCCTGGACTTGCCCACATCAGCGTGAGCCTCTTTTTCTGCTGCAGCCCCAAGGATTAACACCCCCACACCCTGGTCCCACATTAGTGCTACTGCTTTGTGAGAACCACCTGTATGGGGAGATAGCTGGGAAGCAGGCCGCCTCTGCCCACTGGCCGCAAGGGCGTTTGCTTTCTGCTAGCGGCTGACGCTGCAGGAGGAGAGCCACCTTCCTTGGCTGAGTCTGGCAGAACTGAACCAGAAGGGCAATTCTTGAAATAAAGGTGGAGGTTGATGGTTTGAAGTTGTGGTTGTTTCTGTTAAGAGTTGTGAGTTGAGGGAGTTTCAAATCGTGAGCACATGGAGGCCGTAGAAGCTGCTCGGGACCTGTACGGTGTGGACAAAACAGACCATCAGCCGTCTAGTAATAACTTCTATTTTCTAGGACTAATTGGGGAGTCTCCAGGTTGTGGACACATTGAATAGGCACATAGCAAAGGAGGGAGAGGGGGCACATGGCACGATAGGCGCTGCTTGTTCTTCAGCGGCAAGAAGCAGAGAAACTTATTTGGGGGAAGGGGTGCTAATGCTAAAGGGGGATGGAAAACCCTGAAAGACTCGCGGTGACGTTTTGTGTGAACTGTCTGAGAGCGATTATGGTCTGTCTCTGCCTCCGATACACCCCCAATCCTCCAGGGTTGCTTGGAAAATGAGGCGCTTCGCTCAGAACTGCTCCACTCGCCCGGCCGGCCCTGGCACAAAAACCTCTTGGGCTCTGCGAGGGTGGAAGGGCTTTGCCCGCAACAGTCTGCCTTGCGGAGGGCGAGATGCCCCGCGGGAGGCTCGCCCACCACTCGCAGGTCGAGGTGTGAATGTGCCCGGAAGGAGGAATCGGCTGCCTTGCGGCCGAATCGAGCCAGGGCGGCTCTCGGTTGGTGCAGCCTCGGAGGGACCCGGCGCTCCCGTGGAAAGCCCGGCCGGCCGGGAGAGGATCCCCGGGAGGTTGAGCAGCAAGGGGCTTCCGGACTCCCTTAGGCCATCAAGCAGGACTCGCTCTCTGGTTTTTGCCGCTCTGGGCAGGTGTCTCTATGGCACCTCCGGGTTTCTCTGCCGTAAAGCCGCGGCGGCGGGGGGGGCGTAAAGCGCGACTGTCGCGGAGAGCGGCGGCCGCGGAGGAGCCGGAAGGAGACGCGCGGCGCCGGTTGGGCGATAAAATGGCGGCGGCGCCTGGGCGTCCCGGGGGCAGCACCGGCGACGGGGCGGCGGGAGGAGGAGAAGGAACCGCCGCCGCCAGAGGTACCCGAGGGGCCCCCGACAGGCCCAGCCTCTGGCGGCCGCGTCCCCTTCCGGGGGCCCCGGGATGGCAGCGCCGGGCCTGCGCGCGGGGCAGCGGAGTCTCGGCCGGCCGGCCGCCCTTTCGGAGCCCCCGCGGGCGGGGGGCGGTTTCTCCGCCTTCCCTTCCACGAAGCGCGGCCAGCTTTGGGGCCCGTAGCAGGACGGGGAGTCCGGGGAAATCCGGTTCTCTGAGGCGCCTTTTTCTCTCCCCCGCTTAGTCTGATCGCCGGTTTCTCTGCGCCGGTTCCCGGGTATTGCCGACCCTCCCCCGACGTAAGAGGCGGCAGGACAGGTGGGTCGGGGGGGTGGGGGCTTCTCAAGGGAGGTGGGTCCCGCTTGAGCTTCTTCTAGGGAAACCCTCCCCTCCCCCCGGATAGGCGAGGAGGAGCGCCCCCCCCGCGGGTGCAGAGCAAAGAAGGCGGGGGGGGGGCTGGGACCCCCCCCCCCCCCGCCTCCGTCCCTTCCTCGGGGATCCCAGCTGAGGCTCCCTCCCTCCCCGCTTTGGGCAAGGGGCCGGTTCAGTCACCCTCCTGCTCGCCCCACTTCTGCTTAGGGGGCCTGGCCGGGCAGAAGCCCCTCCCCCCCTCCCCTCCCCTCCCCTCCTGGCCAGCTGAGGTCGGTGGTCCTGGGGGGCCGGAGGGGGAACTTCGGAGCCTCTTCGGGATTCCCGAGGGGCCTTCGGGCTTTTGTGGCCTCAGGTAGGAAGAGGAGTGGAAACGGGGAAACCGCCGGCCTTTTGTCCTATTTCCGGAGTGCCGATTTGGGGTGCAGGCCTCCCCTGAACTGAGCCCTGTCAGGGCCCAAAGGAGTTTCCCTGGGAAGAAGCAGAAGGCGGGCTGGGACCCCAGAAGATGCCGGCGAAGGCTCCACGCCTTCCCAAAGAGATGGCTCCCCTTTGAAGGGCCCAGGAGGGAGAGCCGCCTTCCTGGGCCGCCTCTGCATACGCTGGCCAGGAGGTTAAGGGTGGGGGGGTCTCCTCCTCGTTCTTGCTGCCCACCTTTGGGGGAGCTTGGGGGTGGGCCGGGCTTCTTCTGTTGTGAAAGCCTGCAGCCCAGGTGCACGTTGCCTCTTTTATGAGCACCGAGGCATTGGATCTGGGCTGGCATTTGGAGACCCCCTGTTTACTTGGAGACCGTTGCTTAATAGTGTGGGTGTCTTTAAAAGGATGTTTGTTGTTAATTTTGTTAATTATCAGCCATCTTGGCAACCATCTGGCTGTAGGGAAGGCGAAGTATCTTAAATAAGCTGTGCGATCTAAACAAAAAAAATAAACGGTGGAGTTTTATATTGCTGATCCCGCTCTAGAAACCTTCCTTACGGTTAGAGCTTCCTCATCGTGATCTGGTTGGACTTCAAGGCGTTTTGGGCCCTTCTTATCTTGCGAAATGGGCTCTGAATATGAGAACTTTGAAAAATGTACCTCCCTGCTGCCTGGGCCGGGACCTTCCTTGGGTGAAGGTGTCAGGGCAGCTGCTCTCCAAACGGAAGGGCCCTGATGCCGTGCCTGCTGGTGCTCCAGGGCTTGCCAGGCTCGTCTGCTCTGGTGCCATGTGTGAGCGTGGAGGGGGCTGTGCCCTCCTTCGCCTGGGGGCTTCGGTGCTGTGTCTGAGGGCAGCTCTTGGGCAAACAGGGCAGAAGGGACTCGGAGGTGGGCCAGGCTTTATCATCCTTCCTTTCCTGCATCTGCCCCACGCCACAAACGGTTCGGTTCACCGGCTGCCCTCTTCTCTTTCTCCTAGGGCGAATTAAAATAAAGGAGCAAGATGTCAGACGTGGGGAACAGCACAGAGGGGAAAACGAACATCCCTAACGGTAAGAGCAGAGAGAGAAGCAGAAACATTTCCGGGGTTTGTTGCAGGGCTGTGAAGGGCACCGTGCCAACTCACTGAGCTGTGTCTGGAGGGTAGAGTGGGCAGTGCAGACGGGCTGGATCTTGCCTGCCTGCGACACAAGCCCACCTCTGACCGCCCCCATGCGGGGAAGCGACTCCTGCGCTGGGCGGCCCCCTCCCTGCAGCTCTGGGCACTTGGGCGCAGCAGCCCTGCGAACAAGACGGGCAGAGGGGAGGCCAGCTCAGCCTTCTGACCCGGATATGGTCTTCACACACAGGAAGCCTGTCCAGCAGCCCGGAAGAGACCTCCGGCACCACGGAGGGGCCCGAGACGTCTTCCGGGGTGGAGGTGGAGGCTTCTGACCTGAGCCTCAGTTTGACAGGGGACGAGATGGGCCCCAGTCACACGTACACAGAGAGCTCCACAGAAGAGAAGGACTCGGACAGCATGGAGGAGACAGGCCACTACTCTGTCAACGAGCTGAATCGGACCTACGACCGCTCTCCCTCGGAGGAGGAGGAGGAAGAGGAAGAAGAGGAAGAGCAGCAGCAGCAGGAGGAGGCGGAAGTGGAGGCCCAGCGTTCCCGCTGGCGAACCCACCGCAAGCGCCCCAACCAGGACAGGGACTCCTCGGACGATGAGCGGGCCCTGGAGGACTGGGTGGCCTCGGAGACGATGGCGCTGCCCCTGCCACGCTGGCGGGCGCTCCAGGCACTGCGGGAGAGGGAGCTCGGCTCCAGCGCCCGCTTCATCTACAACGCCTGCGGGGCCCGGCTGTTCGTGCAGCGCTTCTGCCTGCAGTATGGCCTGGAGGGCCACGGCGGCTGCGTCAACACCCTGCACTTCAACCAGCGTGGGGCCTGGCTGGCCAGCGGCAGCGACGACCTCAAGGTGGTGGTGTGGGACTGGGTGCGCAGGCGGCCCGTGCTGGAGTTTGAGAGCGGCCACAAGAGCAACGTCTTCCAGGTGGGTCGCAGGGGAGATTGGGGCGGCGTCTTCCAGAAGGCCCAGCCACGAGCGAGGCCAGGAGCCTGGGGGAGGGGTGCTGTGGCCCTGGGAAGAGCTCTGCTGGCGGGTGGGGCTCCCCTTGCCAGGCCCGGCTGCTTTCGCCCCTGCAGGCCAAGTTCCTCCCCAACAGTGGAGACTCGACCCTGGCCATGTGTGCTCGGGATGGCCAGGTCCGCGTAGCTGAACTCTCCGCCACGCAGTGTTGTAAGACCACGAAGCGGGTGGCCCAGCACAAGGGTGCGTCGCACAAGGTGAGAGGGTCTCCTCGGCTGCGCCCACCCCCGCTCCCCCGGGATTGGAGGGCCTGGGCCCGATGGGCTGCCCACACCTGGCCATGGTAGTGCCCCTGAGGAGGAGCTGGCGCTGGGAAGGCGAGAGGCCGCCTGCTCCTTTCCCTGGGACGCCTCTGCAGAGGTTGCGCTCTCTCGAAGGGCCACCGGGAGCCACTTCCGAACTATGGGCCTTTCCCGCACAATTCTCTGAAGTGCTGAGCCGGGGGTGGGGGGTGGGGCAAGCTGGGCCGCTCGGGGGCTTCCCGGAGTTCTTCTTCGCTTGCCGCATTCGGGACCACGTCTCCCCACCGTTGTCCAAAGGCCCCTCAGCTCAGCCTCCCTCTCCCTCAGCTTGCCCTGGAACCGGATTCCCCCTGCACTTTCCTCTCGGCAGGAGAAGACGCTGTGGTTTTCACCATCGACCTGAGACAAGACCGACCGGCTTCGTAAGTGGCCATCCGAGCGGCTGGTGCTTCTCATCGCGGTGGCGGCTCAGGGCGCTGAAGGCCTCGCTTTGTGTCCCTAGGAAACTGGTTGTGACCAAGGAGAAGGACAAGAAGGTCGGCCTCTACACCATTTACGTGAACCCAGGCAACACGCACCAGTTTGCTGTGGGAGGCCGAGATGAATACGTCAGGTCAGCAGAGCCCCCCACCCACCACCCACCCATTCCCCCTGCTGGGCCCTGGACGCTCGGCTGCGCTGCCACCCTCGGGGAGGGGGTCTGCCTGGCCCTTGCTTGGGCTTTCGTCACACCTTAATCCTGCTAGCTTGAGGACTAGAAGCTTGCTTTTGACTTGGAGAGAACAAGGCTGGGGTCCCCTGGAGCCTTTCCTGGGGGTCGCTGGTCTCAGCTTTCCTTTCTGCCTGTCTCTGCCAGGATCTACGACCAGCGGAAGATTAATGAAAACGAGAACAATGGGGTGTTGAAGAAGTTCTGCCCCCACCACCTGGTGAGGCCGCCTCTTCTGCCGCCACCCCAACCCCCCCGGGGCTCTCGGGGGGGGGCAGGGGGGGCAAGCAGAAGCTGTGGGGGAGTTGACAGCCCCCTCTGGAGCCGGAGACTCCCCCGGGGTCCTGGCAGGAAGCTGGGGTGGGGGCCTTTCTGCCTCTGCCACGGGGCAGGAGGCGGCTCTAGGGAAGGAGGCGTCCCTGCGCTGGGGAAACCGGGCCAGGGCCCCGAACGGTTTGGGGCCGTGAGCGCCCGCACAGAGGGGCTTTTCAAGGAGCTCTGCCCCTCCCTCCCTCCCTCCCCCCTGCAGGTGAACAGCGAGTCGAAAGCCAACATCACCTGCCTGGTCTACAGCCACAATGGCTCAGGTATGGGGCCGTGGGGAGCCTGGGCCCGGCAGGGGTTGAGAGGCTGAAGGCCAGGGCGCACCCTCTGGCAGGGGGGGGGATGGCGGCTGGGCGGCCACCTCCAGGCGCCCACTTGGGGGTCTCTTGCAGAGCTCCTGGCCAGCTACAACGACGAGGACGTCTATCTCTTCAATGCTTCCCACAGTGACGGAGCCGAATACATCAAGAGATACAAGGGCCACCGCAACAACGCCACAGGTGACACCCCCACCCCACCCCCGTCCCTCCCCAGCTGGCCCTGGGTGGCTTGGTGGGGTGGGGGGCCCCAGGCAGCAGAGAGGCAGGTGGGGGCCTCCTGGGCAAAACCGCCCCCTTCTGGCTGGAGGAGACAAGGGTTAAAATATGCGCCCCCTTCGGTGCACCTCCCTGTAGAAGGGAGGCCCGGGACAGGCTGGCTTGGTCTGTGGTGTCCTTCCAAGCCCCCCCCCCCCCCCTTCGGACCAGGCGGGGGAGGCAGCACCCCTTGAGGGGGGCTCCCGGCCTGGCCTGAGGGGTCTCTGCGTCTGCTTTCAGTGAAGGGGGTCAACTTCTACGGCCCCCAGAGCGAGTTTGTGGTGAGCGGCAGCGACTGCGGCCACATCTTCCTGTGGGAAAAGGCGTCTTGCCAGGTGGTGCAGTTCATGCAGGGTGACAAAGGGGGCGTGGTGAGTGGGGCCTGGGGGGCCGACCCCCCGGAGGGGCCTGGCTGGGGGCTGCCGAACCGAAGGCCGGGGCGGGGGTGGGGCCCGCCCCCCCCGTATCCCTCGCCCTCACGGGGCTCCTCCTGAGCTCGGGGGCCTCCCTGCGAGCGATTGCAGCCCCTTCCTCTTCCTGTCTGGTTGCCCTCGCAGGTCAACTGCTTGGAGCCTCACCCCCACCTCCCGGTTCTGGCCACCAGCGGCTTGGATTACGACGTGAAGATCTGGGCCCCCACTGCGGAGGTGCCCACCCAGTTGACCGGCTTGAAGGAGGTGAGGAGAGAATCCCAGGTCCCCCCCCCCCCCCCCCCCCGGGGGCCCCCCCCCTCCGCCCCCCCCCCCCCCCCCGCCCCCCCCCCCCCCCCCAGGTGATCAAGAAGAACAAGCGGGAGCGGGACGAGGACAGCCTGAACCACGCAGACATGTATGAGAGCCACCTGCTCTGGTTCCTCATGCACCACTTCCGCCCTCGGCGGCGCCACAGGGTGAGCAGTCCTCCCTGCTGAGGCGGGGCACGGAGAGCCTTCCTGCTCCGGTGGGGCCGCCGCCCCGGGGATCGTCTCCAGGAGCCCTGGGCAGGCTCCGCCCTGGGCCCCCTGGCCCGACCTCCCCAAAGCCTGTGGGGCTGACAGGGCTGCTCCTTTTCTGCAGCGCCAACGAGATCCGGGCACCGGAGAGGCCGACAGCGACTCCGAGGACTCCCTCAGCTCCTCGGACACCCTGGACGAAGACGAGGAAGGGCCGGACCGGGTGCAGTGCATGCCTTCCTGAGTCCCCGGCGCCACGGAATAGGCTGCGGAGACCCTGCCCTCTGGAATTAGGCCCCCTCTTCCTGCTTTAGATGAGAGGCCCAGCCCCGCCCTGCCTGCCAGCCCTGGCTAGCGGGGGGGGGGGGGGCCGGCTGGGCTCAGCCCCCGCCCCGGGACTCTCCCGGGGCCCCGGATTCCTCTTCCTGGCTGTGGTTGCCGCCTCTTCCCTGCGAAGCTTCTTTGGGGTGGGGGCTGAGAGTTGGCTTGGTTCCTCCTTTCTGGGTGGGTGGGTGGGGGAGTCCTCCAGAAGCACCTTGGAGATGTACTTTCATCTCAACACCCCCCCACCCCACCCCCCCAAAAGACACTCGGCTGCTGCATGTTGAGTCCAGGACGAGAAAACCTGGATTCTGCTTTTCCAGTGAAGATTTGGGAGTTTGTTCCCTCTGGGTTTGGTTCTCCCCCCCCCCCCAGCCTCCTCTCGGCTGGTGGTTTTGGCGTCCCCGGCCGCTCTCTCCGCACACGACCCCCCCCCCCCAGAGCCGGCTCCGCGTTGCCGGGC